ATTTACTACACATATCTAGCCGCTGAAACTCGACACTGGATTGAGAAATGAGAGGGGGTGTAGTAAATGTGAGGAGACTTCAAGAAAAATAAATGACCTGGTGGATCATTTAACCTTCTAGAGATTAATTTATTGAGCTCTTTTACAGTGGTTGGGGGTATTTCTTGGTTCCTCTTAGTTCCTAAACAATTAATTAGCGCTAATTAATTTTATGAGTGGAAGGTTAATACGGTAATTGTGGCTCCCCTCCCCCCGCTACCCCCTCCCCCACGCGCGACCGAACCCGCACGCCTCGCCCACGCGCACCCGAAGGACGCAAGCAGTTCTGTATTGAGCGAGGCTTCCCTGCCCTCGGCCTTAGCCGCGGCCGCCTCGCCCTCGACCTCGCCATCGCGTGGCGCCGCCGCCACCGGCCTGCCCTCGCCACCACCGGTCGCTCCTCCCTCCTCCCCGGCACCCGCCCACGCCACACCCCCGCCCGCCAAGGACGCCTCTCTCTCTGCTTCCACAACTACAAGGCGGCGACGCGACACGCACGACTTCCTCTCATGACGCCGCCGCCGCCGCCAAGGACGCGAGGTTGCGCACAAGACCTAGACGCCGCCACCTCGCCCTCGTCCTCGCCATTGCTTCGGGGACGCCATCGATTAGCGCGGCGTCGTCCGGGATCGATCCGAAGACGCCCTGCCATTCCGCGCCTCGGTTCGGGCTTTGGCGAACCTCGTTGCCGCCGCCCGCTTCGGCTCGACCGTGCTCTCACCGGACGCGATCGATTTGAAGGTGCGCACATCCGTTGCTCCTCATTCGCCCTAGCACGGTCGTGGTCGCCTCGTGATCTAATGCTTCGTATTATGCTTGCATCTTTTGGGCTCCCCATCTCTCGTCTAGTGTCAATCCATGTCTTATATTTGTAATCTTGCCGCTACTGTGAATCCTTGCAGCAAAGCAAATATTGACGCACAAGCAATACTCAGATCCAGGCAAAGGTAATTTTGATTTGGGTAGCCACTTGGTGTTCCTCATAGGTTGTCATGTTGCCCGTGTCGAAATTGGCCGATCGGTTTGCCTTGTGTTAGATAGTTTACTCAATGTGTTAGTGGGGTCCCAAAAGTGCCAAATCGAAATTGACCGGATCGATTTGCCTTGTGTTAGATAGTTGACTCAATATGTTAGTGAAGTCCCAAACGATCTGGTCTATACTTTAGTAACCTACTCCGATCATATTAGTTAGCTGTTTTGTATGAGTGCCACCTTGGCAACCTGCATTCTTGGATTCCAATTTTATTTTTAGTTCTCGCTATTAACGACTGAATACCCACCTTATAAAGTAAGAAGTAATGCTTCTCAAAATCTCATTCCATCCTTTGTTTTAGTACATGGTTGTCTCACACTCTCTTATATTGCTTTATACTACTATTTCTTATGGGGAAATAGTTTTAGATTGTGGCCTCACTATTCTCTATTTTGCTGTAGGTTCACGGGAGGTGCTCTCTGTAATCCCAGTAACTGAGGTATGCACCAGTTTGAACTTTAGCTCTGATAACCTACCTGTCCCAATTAATATATGGACCTTCCTCCTATTTCTCTTCTACTAAACAGCAGCCAGATTGGCACACACCATCATCCTTTCAATCGGTTGGTGCTCATGCTGGATACTTGATAAACAATTTTAAAACCAACTTTTTAGTTGTAAATCTTCAGTTCCTACTATTTATTTGGCATATGAAGTCACACAGCACAGCTCATACCTGCCAGTATTTCCTGTGAACTATATATAGTGTCTTCATAGGCCATTGAAATTTCTTGTTCCACAAAAACATTTATGTTGGATCAACATAATAGTCCTTCCAATATTATATCACAAAAATTCTTTTCAGGACTATTACAGCATGATCACACTCAAAAGTTTCATAAATATTTAAACTGATACCATTTTCTTTGATTTTCCTATTTGGATTAGCTACGAGATTGGATGGACTGACTGCTTGTGTTTTTAGAGTTCTATCGCCATCAGTCTACATATAATCTGCATACTTATTGTGAGTATCTACGTATAATTAACCTCCCAGTCCACAAACTGATTGTAGCTGCCCACTGAAGCTCTTTGTTTTCCACATTTAAATTATTGATTTTTTGCCTTTCAAAGTTGTGTTCAATACTTAGTGCTACATTGATAGTGTGGCTATATTTACAACTTCAATGGTTTTGTATTATGCACTTATGTTATTGTTTTTCCCTTTAAATTTTGAGGCCCTAGACTAAGCTGATCAGCCTACTTCTACTGTCACAATATAATACTGCAAAACCATATCAACTTCTACCTACTTGCTTCTAAAAAAATCTACTTGCTCAAAGAAGCAAACAAGAAGATAGACTCAGATTACCATCATCATCAAATATAATATTGCTAGCTTAGACGTTGTTACGCCAAACTTCTTTGGAAGAAAACTGTTTTTGCACATCTCTTTTCTTGTTGGAATTTACTGTTCCCTATTGCATAATATACAAGCATTTGTACAGGAGGAAATGTCATATCTTGAGTCTTTGCTAGAGTACAATGAAATTGTCAAGAAGTTGTTTGCTACTGAAGAAGAAGGATTTCAGTTCTATAACAACTACGGTTTTGAGAAAGGATTTAGTGTGAGGAGAAGCTATTGTGAGTGGGACAATAGCCACAATGAGATGACTCTTCGGAAGTTCGTTTGCAGTCGTCAAGGTTTCCGTGAAGAGAAGCAACTGAAGAGGGCGATTAAAAAGCGGAAGCCGCGGAATATTACCCGTGTTGGATGTCTTGCTAAATTTGTGATTGCACGAGATCGGACCACGTAGCGCGGTATGTGAAGGATTTCATCGATGAACACAACCATCCGATGGCGCCAAAGAGAGCTTACTTTGTCCGCTACGTTCACATAGAAGAATTAGCGATGAGCAGAAAGCTGAGATTGTGGAGATGGAGAGTTCTGGGATCCGCAAACACAAGATAATGGATATTTTGGAAATGCAGTATGGTGGGTATGATAAGGTTGGGTGTACAACAAGGACTTGTATAATTTCGCCATCGCTATAAGGCGGAGACAATTGTTGCCGGTGACGCTCAAACAGTCATCATGATGGAACTTCAGCGTAGAGATCCTGATTTCTTTTTCAAGTACATGGTTGATGGGGAAGGACACCTGAAGGGACTATTCTGGTGTGATAGTCAATGTCTGCTTGATTATGAAGCATTTGGTGATGTTGTTGTATTTGATAGCACCTACAAAACTAATCGGTACAACCTACCCCTTGTTCCTTTTGTTGGGGTGAATCACCATCGGCTACGCTTATTTTTGGATGTGGAATTATTTCTCATGAGAATATTGAGTCATATGTGTGGTTGCCGAGTACATTTTCCGAGGCCATGATTCGTAAGCATCCGATCTCCGTGATCACCGATGGAGACCTTGCTATGCGAGAGAGCAATCAGGTCCGGTGTGGCGAATTCATCGCATAGGCTCGTGATATGGCATATTGAGCGTAATATTGTGCGTAATCTTAAGGATGATGTTGTCAAGGATGAATTCAGAGTTTCCTTTATGATTGTTGGTCCATAGAAGAGACCGAGAGAAAATGGCGTGAATTTTGGATAAGCATAAGGTTACAAATAAGGAGTCATGGTTGTATCGGATGTATGATATGAGGGAAATCTGTGTGCTTCAGATCATCTTTGGTAAGTGCTACTTAGGACCGAGGAGCAACCAACGGAGTGAGAGCCTAAACTCTAGGCTTCATATGCGTCTAGATCGTAAAATGACACTGCTTGACATGGTAAAGCACGTGGAGCACTAAAACTCCAAACCCTGAGGCTAGCACGAAAGAAGGGAAACGAACAAAAGGAGGGAAAGGAACGAAAGGAACAGGATCTGAAAAAGGAACAGGAGCTCAAAATAGGAAAAGAGGACGACCGCCAACAAAATTAGTTGTCAATACTCCTCCCACTGTCAGCAGATGAATTTAGTAGCGAATCTATCGCTAAACGAGTTCAAAGGGCTAAGCATCCAGGGAAACAAAGCAGACCAGCCCTTTTAGGCCTTTTTAGAACTAATGTGCTGTCTATTTAGTAAGCTATATTTGATCTTTAGTTTGTCCAGATGACTAGAACGATGTGTGTTCAGACCTAAACGATGTGCTGAACTAAATTCATGTGTGTTCAAAGCGCAAATACTTAGTCAAACATTTTCTTTAGCAATTCCTGCAAATATTTGCGGGCGGTAGACAAGGCTACCCTCTACAACAAACATATGCCCCGTGGGAAGAGGTGTAAGTAGATGCAAACCGTGCACAAGACAAGAACGGCTGAAAGAAGATTAGAGGACTCAACCTGAACCCCAGTGGAGAAGTCAAGATACGATAGAACAGCCATTAGCGCACCAGCTCGCAAACAGGCCGCTGGGTGCTCCAGAGATCTTCTTAAGGGCTGTAGAGACCGAGAAAGCGAGTAAAGTAAATGTGTTAGCAGCACCTTGATCATTTTTTTAGATAATGAGGATGACTGATCATATAGAGCGAAAAAAAGAAGGAAAGGCACCACCTGCTCGGCGAGGTCCATGTACTCTATGGTGAACAGTCGAGCAAAGAAGCTCTGCTCTGATCCTCTCCAGCATCCGCCGAGGCCCAGCTTGGTGTTTTTCCCAGGTCCATGACAATAATAATTACTACTTTCATTTCTCAACGGGTTTAGATGTATAATTAGGAGTATTATACACATAGATCAAGTGCAAGTGCAGCAAACACCTTTCTACAAACCACCATGCTCACATACTCACATCAAACCCATGCTGCTGGTTACTACGCATTACTAGCAGGCGGCGAGGGAGACACAGATCCTGGACCGCCTAAACAAAACACAACATGGCTTTTTTTAAAATCTGTCAACAAACTGCTACAAAATAATGTGCCGTGTCATGCGGGGCCTCCTCTACAGTTAGCTTTAGCTTCACCACATCATGAAGCTACACTATGCTCTACGGACTGGACCGCCTGGACGGCCTTTCATCAGAAGTTGCACAAGTGCATCTGATCTCCGGTTGGCACCCTGGATCTAGATGATGACCTGCATCTTTCTTCCTGTAATCACCACCAACCGCGCCCAAGTCAACAAGCAAACCCGACCTATATGTGCATTCCAAAACTTCTGCTGCCATTTTCAGAATACATGCTCCGAGATTCAGGATGCTTCTCTTCTATTCAAAGATCCAACAAAATCGCCACAAAATTGCATCAGAGAAAGAAATCATTCAAAAAAGATTAAAAACTCTTCACCTCTTATATTAATATGTTGAATATCCTTATCCTTGCTCAACTCTTACGCTTCTTCTTCACTTTGCCCTATGGTAGCTGTCTTGCTACTAGTAGTGCACTGTGGAGATAGCCTGGTTTTTTCAGTGTTCAGGCACAGAAGTGCATCATCTTCTGCAGAAAAATAAAGTATACCCTGATGATCTTTTGCCTAGTAAAATTCATGAAAACTCAATCAAACAGGTTATCCTTATGAAAGATTTAATCATCTTTTAAGAGGGAGTCCAGTCTCTACAGAACAAGAAATACAATTCCTAACTTCCTGCAGATTACCATGTAAAATTATTTAGAAAAAAATGAAAGTATAGAAATATGAGATACCTGTCAAGCTTTGATCTGAATAGCTAGATGCAGGCATTGCACCACCAGTGTGTGCAGGTATTGACACAGTAAAACTTTCAGATCTATCCAATTCCTTACGAAACACTTGTAACTCTACCTAAAAGAACAGGAAAAAGGTAAAGATAATATGTTACTATTATTTCCAATGTATATTTGGTCTAGTGAACTCTAATGAAAATTCTTGCCACAACCCACAAGTGCTAATAGCAAAACAACAATAGCAATAAAGCCTACTATCCAAGCACGCTGGGTAGGCTGTTACTGGTAAAAAACACTACATATGCATTTAGAAAGAGGAGCAACCTTGGTAACTCTTTTTTTATATGTCAAACTTTGAACAAAAAACATTAAGATGGCATGACTTCTCTGGCTAAAAAAGGATTGTAATGCATATCAGTAAAAGCATTAAGATACTCAATTTCAAATATTGATACAATTCATAGTGTATCTCATCGGTTAACAGATTCTTCTGTTTGGTCTGATTTGCTTAAAGTCAAGGATATCTATCTGATGGGTACCGACATCTGTATGAAAAATGGAAACCTCACTAGATTCTGGAAGGATAGATGGCTTTATCAACAACCTCTTTGTTTGACAGAGCCAGAGCTTTTTGAACTATGTGAGAGGGTTCAAAGTACTAAGTGGGCTCGACTCGTCACAGGCTAACATCACTTCGAGATGACCAAGCCAATCAAGCTCAGATCAATAAGAAATTGCAGGTTCAGATCAATAAGAAATTGCAGGTTTAATGCAGTGATTGCTAGACAAAATTGACAGAACTCCTATATTTAGTGAACATTTGGCTCATGAAGTGAAATGCAGAACAAAATCAGCAATTCTATACAAATTCAACAATCCAGGAATACTTACAACGTGGATAACTTAAGAACTAGGGAATCGGTGTATGTACCTGCATCGGGGAGAGGTTGCTGTTGACGAACTGCCCGCGAGCTTCTGGCAGACCTCGCCGTCCTGGAGGCAGCTGCGGATCTTGGCCCAGTTCTGCGAGTCCTCCACCCTCCTCTGCATCCAGGTGGAGTAGTCCTCGAGGCGGTACTCCTTGTACCCCTGCCGGAGACGACCCACCCGGCGCCGCGGTTGGTGACGACGAAGGCGAATACGGTGAAGGCGAAGAGGAGCAGGATGAGGAGGAAGAGCCAGAGGAGGCACGAGGCGAGGCAGAGTGCCCCCGCGAGGCCCGTGAGGGAGAGCACGAGGAGGAGCACCCCCAGCGCGATCACGGGCCGCTCCAGGAACCCCCCGCCCCCCAGCGCGACGAACGGGGACCGTGGACGCCGCCGGTCCCGGATCTCGCCTCCTCCACCGTCTTTGTGGCGGCCGATTTGAGCAACCTCGGACCGCCGCGGACGCGCGCACCACGCCGCCCGCACCCTCCCGGCAGCTGGGTCGGCCGCCGCCGCCGGGCCCGGATCTCGCCTCCTCCGCCGCCTTTCCCGGATCTACGCGGTGCCGCCGTTCGCCGGAGACTGGTGAGAAGCTTCGCATGCTCTGGCCGCCCTTGCCCTCGCCCTGGTAGTCGGCGCCGCCGCAGCCCTGCCTGGCCCTCGACCTCGCCCTCGCCCTCGCCCTAGCAGCCAACGCCGCCACAGCACACACGAAGGAAGAACAAACAGACAGACGAGAGTGGCTAAGGTTGAATTCGAGAAATAAACATTTTACAAACTATACTACTTCAATTATTCATGTACTACTCAAAGATTATTTTACTATTATAAATTTACTATTCTACCCTTAATTACATAAAACAATTTCGAAAATAGAATTATTCTCTCTTTTCTTAAGGGCTGATCCCACCAATTTTAGTATGCACTTAGTGCATATGGTCCCACCATTTAGTATGCATTTTGTGCCTATCTAATTGGTTCCTCTTGGTTCCTCTGTCTTTTTAGCCGTCGGATCGGTCCTCGTGAGCCATCCATTTTCCAACAACCATTGTAAAAATTCTCTAATTTATTTATAGACAAATTCTTGAGCTAGGAATCTATTTATTTTGGTAAAAAAGGAGTACTAAACAAGACTTGTGTGAAAGGTCAAAAACCAATCGAGTAGCAGCTGGCACCTCTTGGCAACAGCATCCCGATTTAAAAAAACGCACAATTATTAGGAGTACTTGGTACATAAATTATCGCGTCTGACAAAGTGAAAATCGTAAACTACTCCCTCCATTTAGTACTGATCAGCGTGTTTGGAGGAGGCACCGCGAGACCAAGGAGCATCGCCTCACCGGGCGGCGGCTCCGTTTGACAGGGCTTCTCCATCAGTTTTAGGAGTTGTTTGAAGTCGTTTTCTGCCAAATAGGATAAAGTGAAATAGCTTTATTGGTGAAGCCCCTAAAAACATGCTCTTACAATGATTTGGGTGGGATGGAGCCAAAAAAAAGTAGCTTCTTCCGGCTCCTCCTCCAGACCTCTAAAAACATGCTCTCACAGGGAAGCTATTTTGCCAAACAGTTTACCAAAACCGCTTCAGCTCCACCAGTGGAACTATTCGTGGAGCTGAAACAAAAAAAAATAGCTTCACTAGTGAAGTGAAGCCTTGCCAAACAGAACTGGCATGGTTATACCACCCCGTGAGGCCGTGACTCTATGTCCACCCTACGCAGCTGCCGAGGAAGGCCAATGGCCGGACGACTCATTTACTCTACGCAGCAGCCGGGCGAGTTTGTTGTTTCCCATAGAGAAATCGGCGCCCAACCAAAAAATGCTTGTATCAAACTTGAAAACTTTTTTTCGTAATGCGTACGAGAAAATTGAACGGGGGAGTATACTTCTGAACAGCACGTTCGCTTGATCGTATTTAGTTTATAAGTCATAGTTTATCAGCTAACGAATAGTATTTTCTCTCACACCAAACCAGCTAATAGTACTTTCAGCCATGGCTTATAAGTCAAACCAGCCCAAATGAATAGGGCGCAAGTCCATGCATCATCAGTTAGTTCGTCATCCAACAAGTTGTATTTGATAAACGTCGACAAAAAACTCTTTTGCAGATCCCTATTTAGGGCAACAGATGTGTATCGATTTTGGACTCAGTTGCAGCAGTCTAAGAAACAGAGGGAGTTGGTGTTGGAGATACGTCGCAAGTTAGAGTATGCGACAATGTATTTCTTCACGTCCTTTGGATGGCCATTTACTTTGAGAATTGAGTTATGGGTTGATTTTGTTTTGTAAGCTTGGTTTGGTTGCTGCCTTGATAAACTTGCAATGAGTTGATCTGATTTCTCCTTTTTTAAGATAAAGTCGAATATTTCTTCCATTATCTAAAAGACAGTATGAATGGGATGGCTAGTGCCCAGCCCAACCCTCACTAAACTTCACTGATTTTACACCTCTTATCCTCGGTAAACTGAATAGCTACTAGAAATATTCAATAGGCTATGCAAACGGGTTTATTCCTTTTGTTTTGCAACAGTTCAATTTTTAATACTGGCCTACGAATCCGTCTACTTGCATTTAGAATTTTGTGGGCATATCTATATCTCTTATAAAACTAATCTCCACTATAAATTTTATCTCAACATATAAGCCATTCACATCATCTCCCACTAACTATCAATATCATCTCTCACTAATAGGCATATTGTCCCACTAACTTTTAACCTTTTAATGCAAGCTATCCACGTCATCTCCACTTGCGCAGTTACTACATTCAATATATAAAAAATATAGTAGGCATTCATATATTGCTTTTTGTTTTGCCGTTTCATCGTCTTATAATTCAATCCAATTCTGTTAGTTTTTTTATTGTCTTGCCCAAATTTTTATAAGAATGAATGTTAGAACATACATGTTTTAACTCATAAATATTTGGATGCTGGTGGATAAAATTATGGTGTATAGCTACTCAAACTTCCTTCTTTGCATAGGTTCAATGTAGTGGATGCTTCCTATTTAGTTCGAGTGTCTTGACTCGGTATATACGGGTCTTGTATTTTCATCCTTCATTTCACAGGAAAGATTAAATGGCCAGAGGCGATCAAAGGGGTGAATGGGAGTTTCAAATTTTCTCTTCTTCAGAACTAATAAAGAGCAGCCTATATCCTGAGACAACCCACGAACCTCTTGAGCAGCATTAGCCAACATCTCGTAGTCACATCGGACCTACAGAACATAGAAACTAGGCTAGAAAGATGCCGAAATGGACCAGAGGTGTAAGACGCGGAAATTGAGTATCACCCTGTCATAACGGGACTAGCCTCTTTTTCAAACTCCGTCTGGATGGTTTTGCAACTTTCAGCCTGCAGACCTCGGAAGAAAATATCGGAACCCAATCAAATGACCTTCAAAAATCGTGATTTTTTTTACGTCTTCACAAATTAACAAGGATCCTTTCCAAAAGGGATATTCTCAAAATGTGGAAGATAGCCAAACCGGCCTGGATGGTTTTGGTTTAGGACAGCCGCTGATCTCCAAAGGAAAAGGTCAAAGCTTAATCAAACGAGCTCCAAAAAAACATGTAATTTGGTGAAGGTGTTTATAACATCATATAAAACATCTCCACCAAATTCCACATCAATTGATGTAATAAGTCTCCAGAACCGGCTTAGCAGGATTCAGAAACCAACTTAGTTGGTCTTTCCCAGACATTAGTGAGTTCCATTCTAAGAAAAAACCCAAAATCGAACCAATTGAGTTCCAAAAAAAATTATGAAACTCTGCACACACCTTTCCTATCACATGGTAGAGCTATCCCCAAGAGATGATGACAAAAAGGTAAAACCTTGGTCCAAAATTTTGAAACTCCATATTTTGAAGGACCGAAATAGGCGACCAGACGGGGGGTTGTTGAGTGGGAGCCAAATCAAAATTTCTCTCAAAATGACCGTTGTCCCAAAATCACCACCAAAAGCACCGAAACTCACAAAGGTGGTGTTCTCAAGCCAACTGGTGGCTGGATGTTCTCGGTGATGACCGACGAGCACAACGGAACACACACCACAGCGGAAAACCAAACCTAACACCGAAATTCACCGAAATCCAAAAGCGGTGCTCTCAACTTCAACGAGAATGAAGCAAGAACACAACTCCAAATCCCCTAAGCCAACTGGTGACTTGAGGACTTAGAAAAGTTCCTGGACATTTCTGAAAACCCACGGAACAAGCAGATCACAAAACGGATTTAACGGAACTTCAAACACCACAAAACGGGCAAGATCACAGCCAAAGTCGGTCTCGACCGGGTTGCAAGGTCGGTCTGACCGGGTTGAGGACCTTGGCTCAAACCTAAACCCGCCTCGACGACCAGGTTCCAAGGTCACCTGACCTAGGGTTAGCCTTGACCAGGTAGGAGGTTGCCCCGACCGGGTTTCGCAGAATCAAGACTTCAAAACTTTCTCCCAAAAGGCAAAAACACCTCAAATCAACTTCGATTGAGATGAAATTTGGTAGGAGGTTGAGAAACATGTCAGAAGATATTCCCGAGTTTGAAGTCCAAAAGATCAAGGGAACTCCGGGGAGGGGGAAGAAAACTCAAACCAGATCGGGTTTTTCCAACTTTCCTCAAAATTCTTCAACTTCATGCTCATAAGGAATCTGCCAAACCGGTCAAGAGATAAGTTCCTTGGATGTCCTAGCACGTATCCATCCACTTGAATCGACCCCAAAAACTTAGTTTCAAGAAATCTCAAACGGTGAAGAGAAGGGAAAGGTAGAAGGAAAAGCTCAAATCAAATCAAAACTCAAATCAATTGCAAATCAAAGACTCAGATCTTAAAGCCACGAGGACAAGAGGAGGTTAGGGCCTCCATTCCCACTTAGATCAGGTCTACAAGGTTTGATTTACATAGATGAGTGATTTGGCTAAATCATCTGCGGATCACTACAGCATTCTAGAGACAGGGAAACCCTAAAGGATGAAAGAAATGACTGACGGGAGAGATGGCTGGTTGGGGGCATCTTCTACCTTATTTATAGAGCTATTACACATTCCCAACAACGTGCATTGGCTATTCATACAAGGTATTCAAGTCACATCGTTTAGTTGTTGCTAGGTCCATTGGCTATTCATGT